TTAGTGAACTCATTTCTGCCTTTGCCTCTTCTCTTTTTGCCAGTGCTTTCATTTACTTTCTTTCTAGCTAAGGTGTCTTCGATTTGCAGGAAGCTAGAGCATTATTGGGAAGAATTGAATATCAGAAAGGAAATATAGAAGCTGCACTACATGTGTTTGAAGGAATAGATATTGCTGTAATAATTCCCAAAATGAAACTTGGCCTTACTAGAAAAGTAGAAAGGCAAAAGAGACATTCTCATGACTACGCTCCTCCGATGTCTATCCATGCTGTTAGTTTACTACTAGAAGCAATCTTTCTCAAAGCAAAATCATTGCAACATCTCCAGAGGTTTAAAGGTACTGTTTTATGTATTGGTATACTGATCTTATGTTAACTTTGTGACTTTGTCATTGTACTACGGATGAAGTAAATTATTGTTAAGAGCTGTTCTGAATTACGCTAAATTGTTCCTTTTTTTATGTTTGTGATCCTTCTTGCAGAAGCTGCTCAAACTTGCAAAGTTATTATGGATGTAATAGAATCTTCATTACCAGAAGGCTTGCCCGAAAACTTTGTTGCTGACTGTAAATTACAGGAGACTCTAAGCAAGGCAGTCGAGCTGCTTCCAGAGTTATGGAAATTAAGTGATTCTCCATTTGAAGCAATCTTGTCCTACCGGTGGGGCTCTTCTCCACTCGTGGAATCTCGATGCAGAAACCACTGCAAGGATTCAAAAACAGTTTGCTATTTTTCTATTACATTCTGGTGGTGAAGCAAGCCCCCCGAACCTCCGCTCCCAAATGGGCAGTTCATTTGTCCCTAGTAATAACATAGAGGAAGCTGTACTCCTGTTAATGATTCTATTAAGAAAAGTTTCTCTGAAAAGAATTGAATGGGATCGATCGATTTTGGATCATCTGTCATTTGCTCTCTCCATATCCGGTGATTTCAAGGCTTTGGCTATGCAAATAGAAGAACTGCTTCCGGGGGTTATTAATCGCAAAGAAAGATTCAGGATTCTATCTCTGTGTTACCATGGAGCGGGTGAAGAGTCAGTTGCTTTGACTCTATTGCGAAAAATGTTGAATTGTAACGAGGATCCACACTGTGTTCCAGCATTGTTGATGGCATCTAGAATTTGTGGGGAAAATCCTAATCTTGCAGAAGAAGGGATTAATTTTGCTTGTAGAGCCCTTGAAAGCCCAGAAAATGAATGCAATGAGTTGGAAGGCACTGCTAACCTTTTATTGGGCGTGGCTTGTTCAACACGTTCGAAGTATGTCTTATCTGACGTTGAGAGGGTTACTAGACAGTTTGAGGCTCTGCAGGCTTTGGAAAGTGCTCGGAAAATTACGAGTATGAAAGACCCCGTTATTCTTTATAACCTTAGCCTGGAAAATGCTGAGCAGAGAAAGTTGGAAGCTGCACTTTATTGTGCAAAGTCTTTGCTGATAGTAGAGGGTGGTTCTGACATTAAAGGGTGGTTGTTGTTGGCGCGCGTATTGTCAGCTCAAAAACGTTTTTGTGGATGGTGAAATCGTTGTTAATGCTGCCTTGGACCAAACCGGGAAATGGGATCAGGGTGAATTGTTGCGCACCAAAGCTAAGCTTCAAATTGCACAGGGGCAGCTCAAGAGTGCTGTTGAGACATATAGTCAGCTTCTTGCCCTTCTTCAAGTACAGAGTAAAAGCTTTGCTTCGGGGAAGAAGCTTCATAAGGTCTGTTAAGTGCTTAGCGTTCTTTCGATTACCTATAGATTTAATTGATTTCTATTGTCTTGGAAGTTTCTGAAACGCTTCTCCTACCAAGTTGACTTGGGTAATGCATTAGTTCACGTTATAAGATAAGATAGAAGGTAAACTTTCAGAAACGATCTCCGGTATCATCCTTCTGGATGTTTGTTTGACTGTGTGACTTGCTATAACTTGGATGCTTGTCGATGATATGAATTTACTATTTAGGACCTTTTACATTAGAAAAGTAGGTTGTAAATGGCCTTTTAGGGTATATGAATGAGGGTAGTTATCTATTTCAACTTAAGAAAAGCTGCGTGTTCTTTGAACATTAATATTGGAGCTTGCAGTGTATAATGCTCTTTCTTCTGTCATTTCCCGAATGATATCATTTCTCAGGATACACCCTTTAAAGCAGCTAATCTTTTTGAATGATTGTTTACAGGATCTGAGATACCCTTCTGCAAGTTTTGAACAGGAAATATGGCATGATTTAGCTTATCTCTACATAAGCATGTCGCAATGGAGAGATGCTGAGATTTGTCTTTCGAAGTCGATGGCCATCGATTCTTACTCTGCTGTTAGAATTCATGCCACTGGTAACTTTATTCTTCCCTTAATTTATGTTGGCATTATATGATGTGTCTTCATAATGTTATGTTGGTATAGATATTATATAGTTTCCGAGTTTATGTAAAACATTTTATTTTGCAGGTGTAGTGTATGAGAGAAAAGGCCTACTAAAAGAAGCTCTAGGGGCATTTCAGGCTGCGCTGGACATCGATCCGGATCATGTCCTGAGCATGATATCGACCGCCTGTTTGCTCAGACGAGTCAGCAGCCAATGCAATGCAGTCGCAAAAAGCTTGCTGATGAACGCTCTCCGAGTCGATAGAATGAATCCGTCAGCATGGTATAATCTCGGTTTGCTTCACAAAGCTGAGGAAGAAGGTGTTTCATCAACGGAAGAAGCAGTTGAATGTTTTGAGATTGCCGCCATTCTTGAAGAGTCTGCACCTGTTGAGCCATTCAGATAACTGCCCCCCTTGGCGGCGAATTGCCATTTTTCTGGACAGTTATCACCGGTGTTATATGTTGTTCTTAATTTCTTGTAATACTGAATGCAATCAAATAACATTTTTTTTACATTAGAATATAAGCTTTACAGTATTCATAAATGAAAAATCATGTTTTAATCTATGGTTTAAGAAATTCATACATCACTAATATGATTATAAAATCTGAGAAATAACTGGAGATCACTTTATTCAACCTTTTCTTCTCATTTCATTATACTTGAACCATTTCTCGTTTATGAGTGGAATGTGGATTTATCAATTTTAGTTTAAATCCAATTAATCTAAACCTTTCAAACTGAATACGTACTAACTAGAATCTCAATATGAACTCAAAGGTTTTAAATATTAACTGGAATAAAAAACCACATCAACAATTAACATTCGCCTAAAGTCTTAACCTGCAATATCTTTGATTTGAAAATTTGGAATCTCAATCCTGGAACCAAAATGAATTAAATTTTGAAATGATTCCAAAATTGTTGTGACGCAAAACTAGTCTTATCCGTCCATTGATACGGGAAAATTATTAAAATAATAATATATATCATTTATTTTCCAAAATGGCAATCATGGGGCTGTGGCGCAGTTGGCTAGCGCGTAGGTCTCATAGCAGTAGAGTGATCCTGAGCTCGATAGTTCGAGCCTGTCTCCCCTCACTTTTTATTTTAATTTCAGGCTCCTAGAGTTAAAGGTGAACAAAACTCGACTAGACTCAATTTTTTTTTAATTTTGAATTATTCGATTTGATTTATACAATTCAACTTGAATTATCAATTCGGTTTTCGAGTTCGAATTGAGTTAAAATTTTAAAATTTCGAGTAACCCGAATAATCAAAAATTTGGATGAGTATTTTGACAAATTTTTGATTTGGTCCCTGATTTCCTATTCATTTAATTCATCCGTTATTTTAAGTCAAAATTTCACCAAATTTGAACAATATGCTCATTAATGATCATAGAATACATATGTACCTTCAATTTCACTTTTGATAATAATTGTTTTTATTTTTTCATTTTAGTCCCTTAATTTTGCATGATTTCTGTATTTCTTCAATTCGTTTACAAATTCTTTCTCACATTAATTCTTTGGCTCCTTCTTTAATCTTTTATCCTAAAATACCTTCTTTGATATATAATATTGTAAATATATTTTATAATATTGTATGTGAAAAGAATATGAAGAAATATATATCTTATATGATTAGATAAAGTAAAAAATTAGAATAGATTCGTACAATAAGAAAATCCAATCACTCAGCCCACTAAAAATGACTTACAACTCCAAAGCTACTAAGAAAATATCATTGAATTAACTGAAGTTGATTGACATATCTTCTAATTACTTTTTGCAGATTCACACCCAAAAATAAAATTGTTGTCACTTGAAACATAAATTTATGTTGGAAACGTTGGAGATATACCTCTCTTGTTGACATTGAAAATGGCAACAACTACTTTAATTTACTTAGTCATTTCTATCATTTTCTAGTGTTTTACTAATGTTGACAATAATAAATTCCAAAATGTTTCTATCATTCTTTGTTATTGTTTAAATTGTTTAAGTTTTTACAATATTTCATTTTTCGTTAATGCGAATACTTATATTTAAGTACGCATTACAACAAAAATATTAACACATAAATACCGATACCCAGATAAATATTCAACACATTTCCTCCTTCATTCTTGCATTTTCCATCATCGTTTTTATCTTTTTTTAATAGAACAACGATGACGTTTCTTAGATGATAACTAATTTTAGTTCAGATCACTTGAAGAAACGACATTTCATAGTATTTTTCTCAAAATTGTATACCCGAACTATTCGATGTCTAATCTCTTTTTAATTTAGTTAGACATTCACAATGATAAAATAAAACAACTCTTTTACTTCATATGTTGTTTTCTGCATTTTTTTTGTCGGCCTTGTCTTAACTGAACATCCACTCTTTTGTTATTTAAATGAATGAAAGGAAAATGAAAAATATATCACCATTTTTACGTGGATATGTTGATTTAGAGGAAAACTGAAGAGAAAATAGGGGGAAAAAAGAAATTTATATTAATGTTGCTGTTGCTGTTTTTAGAAGAATTTTTTTTGACAGATTGGCTATATAATTGTAGCGCGTGACGAGCACGCTATACGCTAACGTGGCAACAAACAGTCAAATTTCCCATCGTTAAACTCCGTCTTCAATAACGCTTTCAAAACCCTCCAAACAAAAACCCTATTCAATTTCGCAATAAACCAATGGCGGCTCAACCCAAACGAGGCGGAGTTTCCCTACCCGAGAGGCGATCAGCCTCCAAGCCCGAATCCAACATCCTCGCCCGGATCACTTCCTCCCCCATCGTTTCTCGTGGTAAGCAAGCCGCGAGCGACGCCTCTTTCGTCTCCAAGAAGCTCATCCGCAGCACCGGGAAAGCCGCCTGGATTGCCGGAACAACATTCTTGATCTTAGTTGTCCCTTTGATCATCGAGATGGACCGTGAGCAGCAATTCATTGAGCATGAGCTGCAGCAAGCTAGTCTCCTCGGTGCCCCGCCCACTGCACCCGCCAGTAAGTAAACGGGTCGGATTGTGTCATATCAAGTCAGAGCTTGTTGCCTTTGTCGATTTTCAGTTACCGTCTAAAACATTTTATATATAGTTTAGGGGTGTTTGGTTCAAAGATCGTGACGAGAATGTCATTAACTCTCATCTTTTATAATATTACTGGCATTTTGAATTAAAATATTTTTAAATTATTATTTTTTTTAAAAAATATTTTTTTTCTATCATTGAATAATAAAAATTATATGAATATTAAATTATAAAAGTATCTTTAAATTATTTTAAATTTACAAAAAAAAAATATATAATTAAAATTTTATATTAAGATCAAGAGTTAAAAAAAATTTAATCTTTCATTAAATATTTTTAATTTTATAAAAAAATTATATAAATATTATGAATTTAATTTTTTTTTAAAAAATATATAAATATTTTATAATTTATAATATTATACAAATATATAATAAGGATAATTTGATCAAATATATATTCCAATAATCTTTTATTCCTTTAACCAAACCGTGAACCAAACGCACCATTAGAAGTTTAGTATTTCTCCCTTTTTTGGTGTTTTTAAGCTTGAATTTCCTGTGGAATGTCGTTATTGGATCTGGTTTTATCAAGTTTATGCTTGTTAGTTTCAAGTCAAATAATCTTTCGAATGAAAACCAAATGGATGTGTATTTTTCTTTTAATCTTTGATCACAAATATGATCTTTAGTATCACTGGGATAGTGGTGAGATGAAAAGCTTTAACTTGAATGTTACATGAAAACTGCCCTCACATCGTCAGTTTAGAAATATATGGAATGAATTGATCATAGTTCAAGGACAATCTTTTCATGGCTGTATTTTCATGTACCAAAGTTTTACTCAAATTAGTCAAATTCATTTACTTGATCGATATGTAATGAAAAAGTATTTTTGGATTACATTGCAGAAGTTGAGTGTACATGGTATACATAGATGATTGAATTTAAGAGTCCGAGCTCCTATCTTGGATATCTTATATTTCAGTATTATTGTAAGAACTTCCTGATTCAGTAGTTCTCCTGATTCTGATTTGCTTCAACTAGGTCTAAAATTTCAATAACTATGAACCCCTGGAATATGGGAATTAGGTGCACCAAGGTACCTATGATTTTAGCTTTGTCATGGTATTTGTGATAGATACTTAAGTTCTTTTTTCTTGACATCTGAAGTCACAGTTTCCTGATATATCATAAAGCAAACTGGGATATTAATTTCTTGAAGGATTTTAGCTGTTGGATTCATAGTTGAACCAAGTATCCCAGTAGGCTTTGATTCTGTTTGTTTTCCAGTTGCATTGGTGGTTGAATCTATTTGATCGGAAAGCTAGATGTCATAGGCAAGGATGAGTAGAATACCCGTCCTCGTTGAACTTAAGGTCTGTGATCCCTTTGCCATTGAAAGTTTATTTTTAAAGGGTGGGTTTGGGAAAGAGTGTAACGTAAGATCTTTTGAGAGTACTCTAGCAGTAGAACCACCAGGTCCATCTTTACTCTTTGAAGATTGCGATCAGGACAAAGATTCTATGCTGTCTAGAGTAAGATTTATTTTCCGTCTTTAGCATCTAGTGAATGGAGGGAATAGGAGGTACTACATATAGTTTTCGACATTCTTTTGGAGGTTTCAATTATGGCCATGTGGAAATGCTATTTGTGGGATCAAATGATCAACAGAGGAGAATTTTAAAATACTTTGCTCTAGTCAGAAGATTGTTTCACTTTTAGCACGTACGATTATTTATTCATAACCCAAGCTCACAACAGTTTTTAAAGTACACTCATGCTACCCTCGTAGTTGCAGCTAATTGTATTCATCATCCTATTAAGTAGTCATCTGCTACTTGGTTAGCTTGCTTGTAACTCTAGAATCTAGATACAAGATGCAGGTGTACCTAGCAAAGTAAAGTGAAATTAGGAATTAGGCAGCAATAAAAAGAACAGGTAAGGTTGGATGGTCCAAAACTTGACAAATATAAAGGTTTAAGAATACAAGCAAAGGAGCTATTTTCTTTGCATATGTGGCCTTGGCTTAAAATATGAGGTAATCTGACCTCATAGTGACTCGCCACTTATTTGCACATCCTGGTTGATGGAGAATTAGAGAGGTCGGGCCCTAGTCTTAATTTAGTGAATATGATTCGTTTGCTTTTAAGAGTAGTGGGGTCTTGGGAGAAAGCATTTTGACCTTAAAGGCATTGATAGGACCAGAAAAAGGACAAAACCACTGGCACCCTGGTTCACTTGGTCTAACTAGCAGCACTTTTTAAAGATTGGTGAAACTGGGGTAGCCCTTTGAGACCGGAAAATTAGAAAAGAAGTGTTCATTTTTCTTTGGGACTTCGATTATTGATTAATAATAAAGATACATAAAAGGATAGTTGGCAGTAGGCTCTAGTTGTCTCTCTTTAATGTATTGTTGTTTCAAGTACCTTTGATTTGTTTTGGAAGTTGATAAATTTCCTTGTATCTCAGCTTTTGTAGGACTAAAGTTCATTCCTTTTGATTGTAAGAAATGTTAATCTTGATGTTCTGGTTGTGTGGTTTTCTTGTGGTTTAGTTTGTGATGGAAAGAGATGGCTACGTCATCTGGTATATCCTTTGAAAAAATGAGGCATTCAGTGCAAATGTGTCACCATGTGTATGTTCTAATATAAGTCGATCAGCTTATTCAATTTCGATATTATTTTTATTTGTACTAATTTTTATAGATAATGAAACCGGTGACGGGCTTTAGACAAATTTCGGAAACGGCTTGACAGCCCAAACTCGTATGCAAAAAAGAAAATGACTCTATATCTATTAGTTGATTGTAGTTAACGATGTTTACGTAGTTTTACTTTTATGGATTTCGAATCTCGATATTTACTTTAAAAATATAGTATCTCTCCGTTTAATAAAATTAAAAATAAAAATGACTCGGTCTCGAAACAAGTAACCAGTGGCGCTTTAAACCTTAAAAAGCAATATTAGTACACAGGAGATGTAATGAACATGAATATAAGTAAAATATGTATTTGGTCATTCAATTATTCGTGTGATTTTGATTTGGTCATTCAATTATTTGTTTCTAGATTATATTTAATGTTACGTTTTAATTTTATTTTACTCACATATCATTAAAAATTAATTATAATGTTAACTTGTCACTGTAAGTTAATATAACATTAAAAATAATCACTCAAATAATTAAATGACTAAATATATAATTATCGTGTATTCTAATCTTACACTTATTTTTTTATTGGATCCGATTCTTAAAATCCACACCTGCGTATGTCCACCAACAATTAAACATTTTAATGTTTTCGATTTGTAAACAAAATTATGTTTGAATTTTAGTATGGCTATTTATCTCTGAAATGACAGGTGTCGCAATAAGAGCCTTGATGGTGTTATGTGTCAGTTAACCAGCAGAACCTGGCGTGGAAAGATATAATGATTCTGCTGTATCTAATCAACTGCGCAACTAAATAATAAAATAAAATAATTAAAAGAAGGGAAGCGTGGACTGTGTCTTGTCTCCTGGCCCCCAAGCCGGAGGAGAAGCAAATTACGATTGTTTTTTTAATTTCTTTTGTTTGTTTAATATTTTATTATTCGAGCCTGAAAACGAGATTTCAGTTCCGATTAATATAATTTTGTCGATTTTTCAAAATAAAAATTGGGGAAAGCGGAGGGAACGAAGGGCTGGATTGATGTTGAGATGTGGTTCTAGTTCTAATATCAGCGAAAAAAATTAAAATACAACTTATTATTATTAAATTAAAAAATTATAAAAATTGATTATATCAAAAAAAATTAACAAGAGTATAAATTTTTAGATTAGACAGAATAATCTTTAAGCTGGAAATGTTATAATTGAAAATATTATATTTTTTTTTGTAAAATATTGTATTTTTCTTAATATTTTCTGTTATAAATTATAATAATATTTTCAATTGCAAATGCTATATTTTCTTATTATTTTTCGTTATAAACTATAATCCCTCGCAACATAACTTCTCAATCAAAACAAAAAAAATATTATAAATCTTATAATCTTTTAGATTCAACATTATAATAATATTTAGAATTAAAATCATCTTAAATTAATTTTAAACTAAATGATCGTAACGTTAACGATATCTTGTGCTGTCAATTTATCATCTCATTCAAAACCCGTGAGGTTTACTTTCGTTGATTTTCTTTGGAAGAATAACCTTTTTGGCCTTGAAAGCTTATTAATTTAAGCATGTTAGTCCAAAACTTTCTATTATATTTCTATTAACCTTTAAAATTTTAAAATTTATGAAATTGGTTCAAATGTAAAGAAATGTAATGAAACGTTAAACCGGTTCAACTATTGATTTAATCATTTTATGTCTTTATCAAAATAAAATAAAATAAAATGTGTAATAAAAGTTTAAGGGTTAAAATGATAAAATTAATGAAGTTGAGGGTACAAAATGTCATTCTGCCATTTTCTTTTGAGAGATGGGTTATTGAGGTGGATCCGCATTGTCGTGATTGATAGGGGATGGCCCCCATACTCCGACGTGTTGAGCCTTGTGATGTATGGGGCCACATCTGTCGGCTTGTCGTCTGGTGCTCGTACTATATAGGTCCACCCATCAACTCTACAGTTTTCAGTTTTCTTCTTTTCGGTTATCAAATCAATTCAGTTTAGTAAATTCATTTTAACATTTTAGAATGGTTTTACTTAATGTGCAAGTTATTTGTTACTATTAAAATATATATTCAAATTTTATTTAATAGTAAAATATATATTTTTTAATTTTATTAGTTTAAAATTTTATGATTTTTTAATAGATAACTCTAACGGATTATATCAATATTTTTTTTAAAGAAAACATAAATAAATTTGAAAAGTACAATATTAAAAATGCAGTTAATCACATTATAAATGAAATACAAAGACGTAGGACGAGTGACCATTCATTGAGCGAGTGTATGTGTGGCAGGGTTTGCATCCAATAACTGTTGGGTTTTTTTGCAAATGAAAATTGACCACCGATAATGTCAATGTTTTTTAATGACGGTGATCATAATAAAAGTGATTTGAAAGTTTAAAGATTATATTGTAAGTTTTAAAAGTTTAGTTATCAAATATAAGTATGCTAAAAGGTTGGTGAGTATTTTTATAGTTTATCCTCAAATATACGACGTTATTTTACCCGTAACTCAAAAAACCTGCCAACCCGACATTTTCCTTGTTTTCTCAGCGGTTTTAATCATCTCTTCCCCTCCCAGTTTCCAGCAAACAATTTAAAGCTAATTTTAGCTTTGGCAGCCTCTCAAAATCTCCCATCTTTTCATTTCCCTCCTCCGCCTGCAAAAGCTCCAGCCTTTTACTTCCACTATCCATCACTTTTCCCTTGCTTTCTGCACTTATAATACAAGTTTGAATCCTTGGTGTTGTTAGTTTTCAATGCAAGGAGGTGTTGTTAATGGTGGTTCTGACAGTGTGTCAAGGGAGGATAACATGTTGGTCTACTCTGAAGATTCTTCAAGCTCAGATGAGTCTGAATTGGAATTGGGTCTTGGCTTGAGCCTCGGTGGTGGTGGTGGTTTCAAGAGGCATCAGGCTTCAAAGTGTGGTCAATATGCTAGGATTTTGACTGCTCAAGATTTCCCTTCTTCGTCTCCTTCTCCATCGTCCCCCTCCTCCTCCTCCTCCTCTTCGTTTTCTTTAATTAGAGCTAATGTCACGGCCGGGACCAAGAGGAATGCCGATTCCGTGGCTGCTGCTTCTAATGGATCTAGGTATGCTTTAGCTTTAGCCTGATTTATGAATATTCCATGCTCGGTTATGGTATTTAGTTAAGTTCGTTAGGGATGGTCTCATCAACTACTCGATTTTGTACGAGATCAGGGGGAAGAGAAATAGGCAAGTAAAAGAAAACTAGAGTTATCCAACTAGGCTAAAGTATAGTACGCGATACAATTGCATAAATTGAGGTGAGATTTATTTTTTAAACATAACTATACGACTGTTACATTTATATTACGACTGTAATTTAATACTATGATTCTTGTAGAATTGAATTGATTCATTTAGGAAAGGGTTGCAGGGGAGACAACTTAAAGAGTTAGGTTGATGATTATGTGTGGATTTGGGATGCTTCCACTCTCGTTTAGACAGATCCCGTTGGTTGCGATTTGCAAACATACTATTTTTAAGTGGGGTTGTTCTTATTCGAAAATTTGATTTTGTTTTAATTTTTAGTTATTCGAGTCGACTAGAATTATTAATTCTATTTTTGAGTTCGAATCGAGTTAAAATTTCAAAATTTCGAGTAACTCGAAAAACCAAAAATTTGTATGAGTATTTTGATAGATTTGCGATTTGGTCCATGATTTCTTATTCTTTCAATTCCTCATTCATTTTAAGCCAATTTTTACTAAATTTAAACAGCATGCTTCTAAACCATCATAGAATATATATATATATATATATATATATCAATTCCACTTTTTGATAACAAATTTTTTATTTTTTCAATTTAGTCTCTCAATTTGCCATGATTTCCATATTTCTTCAATTTATCCTTCATTTTAAGTATGTTTTTTACCAAATTTAAACCACGTGCTTCCCTACCACTATATAATACATATGTAACTTCAATTCTTATATTGTTTTAAATGGACTCTCTTTTTAATTTAGTCCTTTAACTTTGCGTTTTACTCAACTTAGTCTTTTGGCTACAATTGTTTACAAATTCTTTCTTCACATCAATTCTTTTAACTCTTTTATACTCCCATCAATCTTTTATCCTCAAAATACATTCTTTGAAATATAATATTGTTAATATATTTTATAACTTTAGATTGTATGTGATATATTAAATAACATTGTAATATGAAGAGAATATGAAGAAATATATATATCTTATATGGTTAGAGAAAGTCGAAAAATCTGAAAAAAAATCCGTACTCTAATACTATAAATAACTATAATTAAATTAGTATGTAAACTAGAACATCTCGACTCGACTCGGAAAAATTTTAAATTAAGTTCAAGTTATAAAAAATATGACTCGTTAACTCGAAATTGTTTTACTCGGCTCAATGCCCACACCTACCTAGGAGTATCAGTGTCTGATTTATCTTTCGAACACCATTTTTGGACATGGAGATATGATCCTTTAAGAACCCCATATCCCTGTAAAAAAAAATAGCATGCTCGTGTCGTTCCTAAGTCTCGAGTAGCATGGACATTTACGGTTTCTACTTATTTTCGAGATGTAAATGCTGATAGATCTCACCTTTCTGGTCTTCAATTCCGAACTCGGTTTATGTTTTTTGTTTGATTGTTGATCCGATAATCAATTTAGAATAAATGGTTTAAGGTGTATGATTATTCTTTGGAACCTTTTCAGTACCTCGTTAGTAGCTCATAGCTTTCTTTCTATTAGCATACTGTTGAATTCTGGTGCTTGAGCTGTTGATTTTGTTTGAACTGCAAACAGTCAATTCGTGGGATGGCCTCCCATCAGAGCTTATAGAATGAATAGCATGGTTAACCAAGCAAAACCATCGGTCACGGAAGGATTCAACTCGACGATGGACAACTGTGGAAAGGAGACCTCAATGGTTGAGAACAGCACCATTGGCAGCTACCATAGCAGTGGTAGCACTAATGCCAGGAAATCTCTTTTTGTGAAGGTGAAAATGGATGGAATTCCAATCGGAAGGAAGGTCGACCTGAATGCCCCTGAATCATATGAAAAGTTAGCAAAAATGTTGGAAGAAATGTTCCTCGAAACCGCCCCAAGTGCCAATCCAGCAGGTGAACTTCCTTAATTTATTTTATTTCAAGTATTGTGTCGAATTCCACTTTAGAATAGTGTACTGTGATTTCTCTATTAGATGATCATCGAAGTATGTTTCTCTTACGAGCGTTTATCATGATTTGTGATTAGGATCGACGACACTGCAGCATGATATGACAAACAGAACGACAAGACATTCGAAACTGCTGGAGGGATCATCCGATTTCGTTCTTACTTACGAGGACAAGGAGGGTGACTGGATGCTTGTTGGAGATGTTCCTTGGGAGTACGTATAATTTCCATTATGCATTTCACTCTACATAGTAATTTATCTCCATTGTCTTGGCGAAATGATGTTAAAGTCTCTTATTGCCTGGAGTGAGAACCAAAATGTAGCTCCTCTAGAAGTATGCCGTGCTGTTAATAAACCATCGATTAGTTCGGACTTGAAGATAAAGCAGGGGAGGGTTATTGGAAAAGCTTAAAATCATATACGTGCATTTCCTCTAGTTCGTCGTCTCCTTAACACTCATCGTGAATGTTGTCGGGTTTGATTCAGGATGTTCCGTAGCTTGGTGAAGAGGCTTAGAATCATGAGGAAATCGAGTCTGCCGGATTAGGTATGCATTCGTATTATCTTCCGACCATGTTTACGATGCTTTTTCCATTCGAATCTAAGCCGAGTTTCATTCACATTCCACAGCTCCGAGATCAGAAGAAAGGAACCAGAGGCAAAGAAGAAAGGCCATGTAGAAAACGTTTCTCTCAAATCCATCCCTCAGAAAGGAAAAAAATACAGAAAAATACTTGGTGAGTGATGTTCTTTGACTTGTGTCCGTAAATGAAAGAAGCATTTTACTGTTATTTTATGTTTTGGGCTTATTTTTCTTTTTCATTTATGAATGGCAAGTTTGTTGTTTTTTTCCTCAATTGTGTATTTTGTCTGTCTATGTATATTTATTGTTTGTTTATATAATTATAAAGTTTTACATATAAATCATTTATTATTCCATATATAATTATGAATTAAATATTTTTGTATAAAATATTATTTTACCGGCAGAATGATAAAATTCAATTTTGCATTTTTACTCGTATGAATATCTGGGCAAGTTTAGATTAAGACAATTTTTACACTTGGAGTACGTGCAACATGGGCTGCTACAAGAAACCGAGGATATGATTATGAATGGATCAAGGAGACCACAAAAGAACAAAAGTGAAATGACATATTTGGCCTTAGCTGTGTCATGGTGTCGTTATCTTCAAGACCGTAATACCGTCTGGTCAAACACTAATTTTGTCCATCCTATTATCTTCTGCCGTGTGTCAATCTTTCATCTACGGAAGCCATCCCTTTGGCCAGAGTCATACACCATAATAATAATATTTTTTCAATATTATTTAAAATAAATTAAAAAATAAATTACTTTAATAGTTAAATATTTTTATAGTTAAGAAATAAAATCATGTCATACCAAATTATGTATTTTATATCAAATCTGAATCTATTCAAAATATATAATTTTGCATTAAACGTGTTTGAAAATGTGTAGAAGGGCAATTTAAGTCGAATATTAATAACGGAGGAGGCAATATGCAAACCGTCGTCCGCCTATCCTCCACCACCTGCCGTCTCTCTGTATAAATAGGATTTTAAAAATGTTTAAGATTATAAAAATATACTCTTACTAATCATGTATATTAAATATATTAAAAATTGTAGAATGCAAATTATTAAAATGTTGGATTTAAAACACCAGAAAATATGAAATCATACACGAATTGTATCAGTATTGGAAACCAATAAATCTTATCTTCTCACTTTCCTGTCAAAGCCATATATATCCCTCAAACCTTCACCTTGCTTATTAATAACAGGCAGCACAGCTCAAGTAAAGTAAGGAGAAAAATAAAATAAAGTGTGCTTCTCCATCTCCTCGTATTACAATTCCTGTTTGTAAATTACTGAAAAAATCTTGTAAACTTTTAAGCAAGATATGGCTGAGAATAGCCTTAGAATTGTGGTAGAAAGAAATCCCTCAGACTCAAAACTGTCGGAGCTCAACATCAAGTGTTGGCCCAAGTAAGTTTCCTTTTTTTTTTTTGCTCCATTAATAATTTAGTTTACCGAGGGTTTTTATTTTTGAGAATGAATAACAGATGGGGTTGTTCACCTGGGAAATATCAGCTCAAGTTTGACGCGGAAGAAACGTGTTATTTGCTGAGAGGGAAAGTTAGGGTTTATCCAAAAGGTTCATCCACGACTGAATATGTTGAGTTTGGTGCCGGAGATCTCGTAATCATCCCTTAAGGTCTTAGCTGCATTTGGGATGTTTCTGTTGCTGTCGATAAACACTATAAATTTAAGTCGTCTTCTTCTTCTTCTGATCAGTAACCAATCTCTTTATAAATACAGATATCTTCGTCATTAATTTCTTTATTTTTCTTCACTAATTCCTCTACATTACCAGTAGAAATTGTTTCTCCTCAGGAGACCTGATTAAATATTTGGTAGTCCATAGTTATTAAGGAACGAGGTAGCTGAAAACGCTAATATTTTTTTTTCTGGTCAAAGGAATATGTCTCATTCATAGGCTAGCAATCCTTTATTTAATTTGCATACATAAATACCTCCTTTGACCGGTCGATCTGTTATTTATTTTTGTGTTGTCGTGACGAAATGATCATGAAGAAGACAACCTCGTTTGTTTATTCGTTTTTAAAATTTATTGATGGAACTTGAAATTCAACATAAGATTTTTACAATTTTCGAAGCCCAATATTATCATTAGGCCATGTATATGGAAAATAATTTTAATATAGATTGGATCAATGTGAATTCAAATGATATTATTGGTATAATAAAACAATATTTAGAAAATTGTTTGTCATCTCATCAAGATGAATAAAAAACAAAACCCCTTCGCTGTACCGAAACAGTGGTATCGTGTAAAAGATTCACGGACAAAATTAGGGTACAAAATATTTACAAGAACAGCAAGCAAAAGGGGGACAGCCACCAAATTAAAATTTCCATGCTGTTTTTTAGAATCACTTGAATCAAAGGGAATATCTGCTGCTACAGTACAGAACAGCTTTAGATTGCTTTGTTTCCTGTTATCTTCAAGTGAGTCTCTCTCCTGGTTGAATCTTATCATTGCTTTGGTTTTGGTCCCCATATTCGGATTCTATGATCATCACTAGCTGATGCCAACATCAGAGGCCTTATAGGGTTCCAGATGACACGGTCAACTATCATCGAATGCCCGGACAATACCTCAATCGGTGTAGGGCTTCTTCGATTCCGGATATGTACCTGCCGAGATTTGCATACTGTAGAGATGCATGCACTGCACTAGATATGTACAAGCAAATGAATGAATGAATTCACCAGTGACTGATCTTGGTACTATGTTTTAGAGGGGCCTAATTAAACTTTTTTAAAAAAAATTAAAAGGATTCAATGAAAATTTCCAAAAACAAGATTAGACAAGGAGGATTCATTTTCTGTCCTTGACCTCATCTCCTGAAGAATGAGATTTGGAGTCCAGAGTCCGGAATGCCAGAATGATTAATAAATGCAAGTGATTTGAGAGAAGGCACAACAAAAATAAACTTACAGGTAGATAAGCATGAACTACAATGTTTATAAAGGCACATAAGCATACCTGTGTGTTCTGGCTACCACTGGCAATACACATGCTATTGATCCCGCCAAAGCAGGACCGTATGACATACTTCTTTTGCTCGTGTCCTGTGTACTTTAAAGGCATAGCCCATTTTCCGGCAACATCCCACAAATGTACTTGACTATTTAGGCTGACAATAAAGAACTTGCTGTCCACGGGAACTGAAAGAGATACAATTGAATGCTCAGCAAGATCCAAAGCCTTGGGCATCCGCATGCCCCTCCATGCTTTCACTTCAGTCCCATCACAATGCCACATGCAGGTGCCTTTTTCAGGGTTAGAACTTCCATAAACAATTCGCTTTGAGTCGGAAACCAAGCACATGAGTTGGCTTTGAATCCATGGTCCCCAAAGTATGCTTGCAAGTGCCGGTTTCTACATCCCAGAGCTTGAGAACTTCTGAGTCTTCACATGTAAGCAACTGCGTGTCGACTGGGCTCCAAGCCACAAAGAATACGGGGTCCGATGGCTTTGGAGCATGTGTTTCATTGTCAGCTTATCATTATCCATGACCATATAAATTTAGGGAGACAAAAAATCAAGTCAAAGACCTCAAAAAAAAACATAGATATTCACGACCATGGTCGGCATTAATAGCGACTAAAGAATCATGTTTCTTAAAAATGAAAGTTTCCCTTTAAGGGGAAACATCAAACAAACCGATTTGACTCAATTTTAAAGAACTGAAAGCAAAACAAAACATGGAATGATACAGAGAACAAAAATCAACAATATCAACCTGGTAGATTTCATTTCATTTAATTCGAGTTTGGTAAAGAGACACTTAGGAATGGACTCCATATACACCCCTGCATGAAAATACTCATTTCTTGTTTGTTAGAGTTTTTGAATAACAACAAACTAGACTTTATTTGGAACCCCTTTCCGACCAAAATAAAACTTGAGGCCTTTACAAGTTAGATGCACCCGTATCCACTATATGTAACTCCCACCATGCTATTGTAGTTTATCATATCTCACAGCACACGACAAAACAATATTCCAAATCTTCAAGATAAAACAGCAGAGGTACGTGCTTGCAAATATTCATTAGAAAAAGTGTGCATCTGTCCATATGAACAAGCAAAAAGAAAGTTGTACTTTCCATATAATAGCTGTACAGTCACTTGATGAAGAGGTAAGTATCCATTATTTGAAAATTGTATAAACCAAACTTCATCGGTATGTGCAGTCAAAATCTGCAGACATTAGAAACAAAAGGGGCCACGAAACAGCTCAAACATTCACAATAACAAGCCATAATTAGGCAGGTGAAAGAGGAAACTCAAAAATCGGCACAAAGGGAATGGAAGAACTCATTAAACATTCTCATCTTATGGTGGGAAAAATCATCTTGAAGAAAGATAGTAAATAACACCGTATTACGAAATAAAAGATTGGTTTATAGGCTATATATCAGATGTTAAACTGAGAATTTGGAAGATATTTTAGTGAAAGAAACCACACTGAAGTCATTATTTTCAAAAAAAACGCAGAATATTTTTTCGTATAAGCTTGAACTAAAGAGTTGTCTGACTTTCTAATTTAATGAAGTTACATGGCTCATTTGTTTTCAGCAATCATAATTTGAAATTCTAAAACCATAGAAACATATTGCTTTGACCCCCTTCAAGTCGGCCGAAGTATAATAACATGAATTGACAGGAAGGTGTATTCATAAGTTAGTTTAAAGATAGGATTATACATGAATTGACCAGATAGAAATACAAAGGAGTGTGTCGTCTCCTTTAAGGTTTAAACAAGTTTTGGAACATAACGAGGGCATTTATTTTGGTTGCTCCGGTATTACAATAAGAACAATAATAGCGATAAGTCACCAAATTGACAATCTAAGCATTTCTACCATACAAATCGGCTATATAATTCATATTGCAAAATTATGCTCTATTGGTTTCACTCTATTGCTCCGCTACACCATAAAAAAACCCTTTAAATTTCATATTTGGTTCAACATGATAAACTGTAATCTTGATGTTTCCACCACACCAAGCCATTGGCTTCATAGAAGACAAGAAAATATGATCTTGATATGTGGGTTCAAATTGACAAAGAAAAAATAAACAAGACCTCATGGTTTAATAC